TCCTGAACCACTAACTTATGCATCCAGATCTCTGATCCAACCCCCTCTCCTTCCAGCATCACTGAGCCTTGGCTCCTTTGATCCCACCAGCCCATCGACTCTGTCCTTTCTCTCTGATCATGCACCATGTCAATCCCACTTTTGCCAAGGTTCTCAATTCCTTGGCAAAAGGAATTTGCTCCTCTGCCCTAGCAATTCCCTCACCTGAGCCTTCACCAGAGCAGATAGCTGAGCTCTTCTGGAGCAAATCACATAAGAGGGCCAAAGGGTACCTTGCAATTTCAAGCCACCAACCTCAAGTGGGTTGCCATGCTGCCTTGCCATCTGGCTATTTCTCTGATCATCTCAACCCTCCCACCTTCTGCAAGGACTGTGTCAAACCTTCTCTATTCTCTTCAAATCTCTCCTTGCCCCACCCCCAGCCTCCTGTATGTCACAGAGTAGAGGAGGTCATCAGGTGGAAGGATTCACTGTCCTACATCAAACCTGCCTGGCTCAATCCTCCTCCAACCTGCATCCTCCTGTTAGAATAGAGGAGGCCAGCCGGAGTCAGCCTTTCTTTTCTCTTTTTTTTTTTTTTGAGGAAGATTAGCCCTGAGCTAACTACTGCCAATCCTCCTCTTTTTGCTGAGGAAGACTGGCCCTGAGCTAACATCCATGCCCATCTTCCTCTACTTTATACATGGGATGCCTACCACAGCATGGCTTTTGCCAAGCGGTGCCGTGTCTGCACCCGAGATCCCAACCAGCGAAGCCTGCACCGCCAAGAAGTGGAACGTATGAACTTATCCACTGCACCACCGGGCCAGCCCCCTGACTCAGCCTTTCTGCCCATACTCTGGTTCTATCCTCTCCCATGGTCACAGGAACCTTTATTGTCCATTGTCCTTTCTCTGCTATAGCTTCATCTTCCTCTTCTCTATAGGATCCTCCCCATCTGCATTTGAACACACTCAAGTTATTCTATTCTAAAAAAATAAAAATATATAAAGTGAACCCACTGTTGACATAACATTCCTCTCCAGCTATTTCTCTCTGACCCTTCACAGTCAAACCTTTCAAGAGTTGCTTGCATTCAATGCCTTTCTTCATTTCTTCACCTCTCACTCACTCCTCCCTCCACTCCAGTCTCTCACCCCTTCACTCCACCAGTCACTGTTCTGTAAAAATGCCAATGACACCAAGGTCACTCAGTCTAGTAGGCATTATTCAGTCCTTATTTCCCTTGGGCCTCTCAGCCATTTTGAGTGTTGTTGACTATTGCCTCCTTATAACACATTCTTCTCCTGGGCTCTATGACCCCACCTCCTCAAGCTCCTAGTTTTCTTCCTGCTTCTCTGGCTGCTCTTCCACTTCCTCTGCCTGATAGTTTGCCTCTGTCCAGGCTTTAGATAAGGGTTCCTCAAGGCTTGGTCCTAGGCCCTCTTCTGGTGGAACACTATAGTCTCCTAGGAGACCACCTCACTCTCGTGACTTTATTACCACCTCTACACCAGCTGCTTCAGCTCCAGCCTCTCCTCAGAGCACCAGACCCTACAACCACCTCCTCAACATCTCCACTTGGACATCTCACAAGCACCTTAAACCCACCTTGACCAGATGTAAACCTTGGGAAAGTTTTCTCAATCCACCTCCCTGGGTGATACTGAACCTCTTAATTGCAAGTTCTGTGTCTGAAGTGCAGTAAGCCAAACACCGAGACATGAGAGCTTGGAGAGGGAGAAAGGTTTATTCAAATTGGCCAAGATGAGAAGGCAGGAGCATGGGTTCTCTCTGCCTTAAGGAGAGAAAAGGCAGGGCGTTTTATAGAGCTACGGGGTGTGATAGGAGGAGTTCTGGAGAAACAAAAGAGTAATCCATGTTTCTTTCACTCCCAGTAACCCCCCAGGGGCAATCTGACTTCTGGTCCTCAACAGCAGCTAGGGGCTGGTTATCTGGTAATCCTTGAAGGCATTCTTTCTTCTGTAAAACAAGCTCATAAATCCTTGTGACCCTTGAGCTACCCCTCAGGAAAACAGCAAATTGATAAGATTAAGTTCTTTTCATAACAAGGTCGAAAGGTAATCTTATTGAATATTTACAGTAACCCTCAGGTACCTGGCTTCATGGGGGTCCCCCAACTCAGAAAATGGTACCACCATCCATCTGGTTGAAGAAGCAGAGACCTGAGAGTTTTCCTTGATTCCTCCCTAGCTAAGAAATCACCAAGTCTTTTTGGTACCTACTACTCTCCATTTGCTCTACTGCTTAAACAGCCTCTTTCACTTACATTATAGCAATAGCCTGCTGTCTCTCCACCCCACTCCTCCCTCTCCAATATTCCTTCCTCACATTGCAGTCAGAGTGATCTTACTGAAAATAGTATACCAGGCCAGCATGATCTAGCCCCTGCCTACCTCTCAATCACATCCCCCTTTGTAGCCTGAATAAACCAGGAACTCTGTTCCACTTTCCTCTTTGCCTGAGTAAATCCTGCTTACCCTTCAGGGCTCAATTCAAATGTTACCTCCTCTTGGACTCCCCAGACAATTGGTCCTGCCACCTTGCACTCCCTTTGGTCCATATCACAATTGTAATTATATCAACTGATAGTGCATTTAATTGTTCAGTTAATTTTGGACTGTGAGACTGTGAGCTCCAAGAGGGAAGTGTGTCTGCTGTGGTCACCACTCCAGTGCCTAGCCCTGTGCCGTGCACCTAGTAGGTGGTCAACACATATTTCTTAAATATATGAATAATACATCTTTACCTACTGATTATGGACCCAGGCCCCAACCCAAGAGCAGAGACTACAGCCAAGCAGGTGTGGAATTTTGCATTGAGTAATTCCCCCCAAGACACAGTGTAACTGTTGGAGGTAGACTCTGGATCTCATTAATTAATGGCACGATGGAGCGAATGCTTTTATTTTTAAGTTTCAGGGCCTGAACGGCTTTTGGCAGCTGCAAAGGACACAAGCTTAATTTCCTCGTTGGTTGCCTGCTGACGTTGTAGCAGTTCCCTTACTAAAAACTCTTTGGCTGGCAGTCCCTGAAAGTTTGTCTGTGGCTTCTGAGAGTGCATTTAAAGGGAAGACACATATGTGTAGAAACAATATACCAATCTGATGGCACAGAAAAATCTTCAGATGTCAGTCTTGTCCCATCACAGCATTTAAAGATCAGAACAGCCTAGAGATATCTTTATTTAAACTAAAGAACATGGACTCAGGATTAATTATTTTGACACAGAATTAAAGACATAGGCTTCAATTGTTTTTTTATACTTTTTGTAGAGTTGTTAAAGGATTTCTAATTTCTATATTAAAAAAATATTTTGTTAGCTTTCTAAATTATGAAAATTAATATAACTGGAAAAATAGAAAATTCAAAGTCAGTAAGTGTATAAAATTCATCTCCTCTCTTTTGGTAGGTCACCCATATTCCACACCTGGGGTAACTGTGGTTAAGAGTTACCTGTACATGCTTCCAGATGTTTCTCTATGAACATACAACAATCCGACTTGTTTCTTGGACCTTATATGGCAGTCTTAGGAGAATCATATGATTAACATAAAAGCAAAATGGTCTGAAGGCTGCAAATCAAAACTTTCCCAGAACTGACGCAGAATTCCTCTTTCTAGAGGACCGCACCCACGTGGCTCAGTGCATCCAGCAGCAATGTGCTCTTCTGTGTTCTGAGTTTGGATAAGAGCAAGGGTCATAGTGGGCTCAGATCATAGGTGCCTGAAATTCTTTACATTAGCAATTCCTTCCCTTTCGGCTAATTCCGGCTCAGAACGCCTTCTGAAAAATGCAAATAGTTGAGGGTGGAGTGTCCTTAATTTCTCTGTCTGATTATCTGAAGCGGTTTGCTTTCTTCCCAGAGATAAGGACCAAGGGAGCTGAGCGCTTTCAGGTGCGCCTCGGGCCAGGCTTGCCTCCCTGCGGAGCGCACGGGGGACGAGCTGGCTGCTCTGGGCCGTTCACATCAGGGCAACCTCTCCATCCAGTCGCCCCAGGTTTACCTGGAACCTCCAAAGTTGTGTCAACAGCGGCTCAGACTCACCTTAGAGTGCAATGCTCTGGCCAGCCTGACGGGTAGGCTGGGCCAGGAGGGTGTGTTTGTTGTCTCCGGAGTTCCGGCGGATGGGTGTGTTTGGCACCTCCGGGAGTCGGAGGTGCGTGTATCAGAGTTCTGCCATTTAGGCTGCACCTAGGTGTCTATCTTGTTCCTTGGGCCGCGGCGCAGGTTCGAGGTTCGCGTCTGGGCACTTTGCGTTTTCAGTTTCCCGAGACAAGCGTGGAACCTCGAGGAAACCCTCTGCAAGACACCGCGAGGAAGAGAACTGACTCCCCCCTCACCACTTCCTATCGGCTTCATGAATCCGAAGATCGAGTGGCAGTGCCAAGTAGGGCACCACCCCTAGGCCTTGGGCGCTAGGGCATTATTTGGGCACCTAAGAGGTGGTGGCAGGTTATGGGTGGGCAGAGACCAATGGTCAAGTCCCAGTTTGGCCCTGGTTCCCCCTTCCCCCGGCATCTGCCCAAGCAATTGAGGGGCGGCCGGGGTCCAGTCCAGGCCCAGGCACAAACTGGCTCCGGCCAGGCCATGTGCTTAGTCCCCCAACATCAGACCTACTTCAAGAGGGGTGACCTGCAGCTGGAGGGATTTAGGTTAGACCGGAGTTGCAATATAGTTCTTTTGAACTTCGAGCTGCCCTGTTTTTCCGAGGTATCTACTTCCTGGGGTCCCCTTCACCCATTTTAACCCTCTGCTTTCCAGGTGTGGGCCTGGGGACCCCGAGGGCACCCAGTAGCCAGGAGGAGCTCGAGCCTGGGCAGACAGGCGGTGGCTGGGCCGTCGCCCAACTTGGGGCGCCGGGCGGCGGGCAGGGCTGGGCGGTGACGTGAGGGGCGGCGCCGGGCCTGATTGGCGCGTCGGGCGGGGGCGGGGGCCCAGAGGCGGCGGCGGCGGCGCTGGGAGCTGGAGCCGGGAGTGAGGCGCAGCAGCCGTGGCGGCAACAAGTGCCGGAGACTAGCCGAGCCCGAGCCATCCCCGCCGCCGACACCGCCGGGCCGCCCGTTGCGGGCGCAACGCATGGAGCGTGAGCGACGGCGGTCGCCGGGCTGAGCCGCGCCGAGCGGCCGGGACGTGGATGCGGCCGCGATCTCCCGCCCCCGCCCCGCTGAGCAGGAGCTGCTCCCGGACAAGGTAGGGCCGGGCGGGTGTGCACCCTCGCCGCCTCCTTCCCGACGCTCCCCTCCCCCAACACCTCCCCAGGCCCGCTTCGTTCTCCCCTACCTCTCTGCTCCCCGCCCCCCACCCACTGGCCCCCCCCTCCCCGCCCCCCAACCCGTTTCCTTTCGGGTTCCGGCTTCGTGCCGGCGCCCCAGCGGAGGAAACACTTTCTAGGTGGCTTCTGCAGCATTTGGCGTCCCCCACCCCACCCCTCGCCACCTTCCTTACCCTAAAGGAGGAAGAAAACGAAACCCGCGGCAGGGTGTCTTTCGAGCCTCTTGCAGCATTCCACACCCACCCGCCCGGGGACGTCCCCCCTCCCGGTTGGACCCCAACTTCCGGGGGAGCCTGCGCCGGGTCGATGCAGGCATGGAGAAGGGGCGTCTGGAGCCGGGCGTCCTCATCTGGGTTGCACCAGCGTTTTGGGGAGGGGGCCGTGCGTGATTTCGCGCTCGCACCCTCGCACCCCACCCTCGCACTGAGCAGGTCTCCGATGCCGCATGGGGAGATCAGGTGTTTTGTGAGCCAAAGAGCCGCCAGCAACCCCTCCCTACCCCCAGCCGCCTGCCACTGCCACCTTCGGGTCCCCAAAGGCTGATTTTCTGCGAAACTTAGGGAGAACCTTTCGCTTTGACCTCTGGAAAAATATTCCACGCCGCCCGCGTTGAATGATTAACCAGGCTCCTTGCCCGCGACCTGGGGAGGGGGAAGGGTGGATGCTGCCGGAGCGCGTCAAGTCGGCCTGTGCAAAACGCCTCTCGTGAAGGGTGGGCGCGGGGGCGCTCGGTGGGAACCCCGGCGGGACTGCGGCACGGCTTCTGGCGGCTACCCCAGGACCGCAGGCGGACCCTTCTGGAGGCAATAAAACCGAGTCACCTTAATTTCCAGGCCAAGCATTTTACACTCGGGGCTGGGGAGTCCCAGAACCCACTGTCTTCATCCATTGAGGAGGAGCAGCAAAGAGACACCCCGACGAGCGTCACAAGCGTGAAAGTTCATCTCTGAAGATAACAGATACATTTTAAACCTGGGTTGGCCGGGAGCCTCCCTCTCCCGGTTAAAACGTAGGGGATGGTTTGTCTTTGCTCTCCTACCTCGCGCCCACCCCCCCACCCCGGCCTCCTGAACCTCCCCAACTTCGTAAAACGATAGTAGGAACCATCATAACGTATTCTCCTGCCTCTGCCTTGTTGGAGCCGTGCTGTAGATTTCAGATTGTGAAGCCAGTTGGTGAATATGGGCTTCTACTTGTTACAGCGAATTCTTCCAGTGTAATTTTGCTTTAGGAGGTGATGGGATGGTTAGAGCGGTGGCAGACAGGGCCAGTACTGGGACCAGGAAGCCGGGAGCCCCAGCCAAGCCCAGTCCAAGGGCTCTCGAGCCCAGAGCCCAGCCTGGCTGTCTCGTGGTCTCGAGGTGATGCCTTAGCTGATCTGGCAGCTGACCCGGAGGGAGGACAGGGCTGGGCGGCACTTCTTCCTACTGTCCTAGTTCCCACTTTTCTTTCTTTCCAATAGAGGCTATTAGCCTGGTGGAAGTTGGGAGAGTGTTACACGGAGTCCCTGTGCTCTTGAGCCAGATTAGATTTTAAGACCAGGAAAGTGCAGCAACCTTATAGAACCCTACTTGAGTAAACCTTGCCTTCCTGCCCAGCCTTTACAAATGTCTTTATCTTTTAGATCTTCTGTTTGAAATTACTTTTTCAGGGTGGAATACTACTTTTCCCCCCTCCTTGGGAATCTCCCTACAGCAGGAGCTCACTACTCTTCATCTAGTTTTTGTGCAGATGGCATATGTTTGACGAAAGGCTTAATTCTCCATAAAAGTTACGAGTTCCTACCCTCACTGTTCGCTGGTCTTGGTTCTGCCACATACAGTTTAGTGACCTTGGTCAAGTTGTTTATTATTCCAGCCTCATTTTCCGTATCTGGTTTTGAGGATGGTAGTGTCTGCTCTACAAGATTGTTTTTTTTAGGACAAAGGGGATAATGTTTGCCAGACTCCTTGCTCTGCATCAGGGAAGTTAAGAAGTGCTTAGTAAGTAGTGGTCAGGGGCCGGCCCGGTGGCGCAGCAGTTAAGTTCACATGTTCCCTTTTGGTGGCCCGGGGTTCGTGGGTTCGGATCCCGGATGCGGACATGGTGCGGCTTGTCAAGCCATGCTGTGGTAGGCGTCTCACATAGGAAGTAGATGAAGGTGGGGATGGGGATGGGTTGTAGGTAACTAGCTCTTGGTACTCCTTTTGTTGTTAGCTTAGGGCCAGTCTTCCTCAGCAAAAAGGGGAGGATTGGCAGCAGGTGTTAGCTCACGGCTAACCTGCCTCAGAAAAAAGAAGATTAAAAAAAAAAGTAGTGGTCATTGTGTAATCAGTATAGAAGTTCCTCTAGGCATCAGCTTCCCCTTACCAAACAGTAACCGTGTGACAACTGTTTAGGTTTGTCTGAGACTGAAATCAGCCATATTTGGCAGATGCAGATGAAGTTTTTAAAATCCAAGGAATGAGGGAGTCTTTTGAGGAGAATAAACATACACTTGCAAAAATTATGAATTGATTTTTTTTCTGAGTTTCTGATGGAGAGCTGAGTATATAGGTGGCTTGTGGTTTTGAAGATTTCCTTGTTTTAAAAAAACCACAATTTAGATTTCTCTAATTCTAAGATGCTAAAGTTTTGCTAAATATAGGGAAGTGGAACTGATAATTCATGGTTGATTTTTCACTATACTGTTTGTTCAAATATGTGGCTTTTTTTAAGTTACGTTAGGAAATGAATGAGAATCCAAAAAAATAATCATTTTGCTTTATGTGATGCATTGTTGGTATAAAGCTAGGATGTTCTAGGTAGAAATATGGGGGCTTTTTCAGCTGATGCAGGGATAAGAGAAAAAAGAATCCTTTGTTTCTCAAAGAAACTTTGTTTCGATGTTTTCTAGTAATGCTTTTGTGTGTTTTTTCTTTCTGGAATACCGTAATTGGGGGTGCTGACTCAGGGCTATGAAGTACCTGAATCACACTCTGTTCTTAACATACTGGGTCAGTTCTTTTAATGCTTTCTGACTTGCTTAATAGCCACAATATTTGACTCTACTCAGTTTTTCTGACAATTTTATTGGACAGTTTGTTAAAGACTTTTAATAAATGCAAATGGTTACTTTTATCAACATTGAGATTCTTGCAACTGGGATAATATTTGGTTATGTAAACTATTGCAACACACCCAGTGGTGATACATAAATTAACAATACTGAAAAATTCTCATAAAGGCCTTTTGGTCTTATATGCAAATAGCGAGGGACTAAAATCATTTGAATCAATTGCCTGGCATTTTTGGTGTGTACAGAAAGTTAAATCGAATTAAACTGGGTTCTAACAATTTGAAAGTTGGGTTTCCTGGCTGCATAATGGAAAGCATCCAGTAAAGATGACAGCATATAACACCCAACAGGTGTGGATCCCCCAATCCAGCCCCCCCCCCACCGCCCCAGGTGGAATTAGTTACTAGATTCTTGCCAAATAGTCTCCAAATTGTGGGATGAGTAAATTCCTCTCTCTAGAGAGACAATTACCGTTTGAATAAGAGGAGTGTGTATATGTGGGGTAAGGCTTCAAGAGAATTGATGTAATGATTTCATCATTGCCCGCTGGTGATGAGACTTTGCTAGTCTGAACAAAGCTTTGGTGGGAAGAACTTGATACTTGAATGGAGAATTTGTTGTTAGAGCATAGGTGGCACATCACTTTACTGCTAGAAAAAGTGACTCGTGCAAGTTTTCTGTTTGTTATAACTCTGAGTTGAGATTTTTGCACTCACTGTGCCTTGCCCCTACTGTGAGTTTTATGCTCTTTGCCCATCAGCTTTGTCTTCTTGCCGTTCCTTAGTTGTTGTAACAAAATTCAAACTTCTTTTGAGAGTTAGCATTGTTGATAAAGTTACAGCATATGTCTTGAAATATTTTATGTAATTTTTAAATTTATTTTATTTTATTTTATTGCTGAGGAAGATTCATCCTGAGCTAACATCCACTGCCAATCTTCTTTTTTTAATGTGAGCTGCCACTGCAGCAGGGCCACTGACAGATGAGTGGTGTGGGTCCACACCTGGGAACTGAGCCTGGGTTGCCAAAGTGAAACGTGCTAAAGTGGAACGTGCCGAACTTAACCACAGGCCCCTGGGGCTGGCCCTATTTTGTGTAATTTTAGCTTTGGGTATTTCCATGGATGACTCTAAGAACTTTGTGACAAATTATTTTCTGTACATCTATAAATATTCCCTTAGAGCAGAATTTTAACTTTTTTCTTTATTATTCTGATGTGGCAAGAGAGGGGAAATTCCCTGTTGCCAGGAAATCGATAGTTTCTACTTTTCATTTTGTGGCTTTAAACACAGGTTTATTGTTCCGATGTCTTCGCTTTGATGTGATTAGGATGTATATTGTCTACCAGAATATTTTTAAAAACTGATTATCCAAGGAAATCAATTCTAGACTGTGGCCAGGTTCTGTCAGGGTGGCCCTATGGCAGCTTAGCAGTTAAGAGCATGAACTTGGAGCCTATCAGATGTGGATTTTTTTTTTAACTTGAGGTGTAGCATCCGGTAAAATGTATGAAGTGCAGGTCGTGAATGTGTATCCACCCCCTAGAGGGAACCATTACTCTGGCCTTATCATCTTAGATGTGACTCATCATCATGGATTGGTTTTGCCTGTTCTTGAACTTCACAGAAGTGGAGTTACAGAATCATGCAGTGTGTAGCCTTTTGTGAAACAGACCTGGATTTAATTTCCATTTTTGCTGCTTACTGTGTAAATGTGGTTGCCACGTGACTAAGTCACTTAACCTCTCTGAGCCTCAGTTTCCTCATTTGTGAAATGGGGGAGATAAAGCCCTGTCTCAGTTTTGCTGAGAAAATTAATGTGATGAGACACCTCGAATCCTAGCACTGTGCCTCACATGCAGTTTCCTTGTCCCCCTTTATTTCTTTAAAAAGGTAGACAACTAAAGCAACTGTATCTTGTGTCTTAATATGTTATTTCATTATAAAAGTTATGTAGGTCTTTTATTGAAAGTTGGAAGCCAGATCTTTGTTGATTCAATACTTTGTTGATGTAACATTTAGCTTAAATAAGATGTAGTATTTGTTAATAGTTGATCTCCTGTTATTTTAAATTGACGTATCCTCTGTAAGTCATGAAATGACAGTTACTGAAATGTCCCCTTTAGAGCTGATTTGTCAGCTGTGTGATGTGGGCTATGGTGTGGTGACGACAGCTGCTTACACTCGCTTCTGAAGCCCACAGAGGAGTTGAGTTTAGATCAGAGGCATCAGTGAGTGCCCAGAACAGCATTTACCTGCTTTCGGTTTTGTGAAGTAATTATTTCAGGAGTGAAAGCACAGGGCCAGTTGTTAACTGAATGCTTCAGACAAGCCATTTAAAATGTTTTCAACTTTTATAACCTTCCTCTATAAGTCGTATTATATATTCAGTGGTCCCCTGTCCCCAGTGTTTTGGTGGATTATTTTGATACTTTTTATTTTTGGAGCCATTTTTTAAATGTAACTCGGGTGGTACTTTGGCATTCTTTCTAAAAGACCTTTTTCTTATGATGTTTATTTAGGGGGAAAAAATCAAGATAAAGGAAACTAAAGTTAATTCCGCCATCTCTTAACACTGTAACTACTGTTAACTTGGTTTGGATCCTTCTAGGTGCTTTTCTCTGAGTCTGTACACTTCTAGAATGAGCTTAGGAAACACGTGTTGCCAACACGTTAGGCATTTTAAACAGTGTCTGGGCCTGCCTAGAGATAACTGGCTGAGAGGGCGGGAGGCTTCGAAGGTTTGGGTTCAAATCCATCCCCACTCTGGTTCCTCCTCGTGGCTGTACCATTGTCAGGAATCACCAGAGGCTCCATCAGAGGGACCCCTGGACTCCAGATTACAGAAGCAGAGAGAGAAAACCTGTGATTGGAAGATTCCCCCCACCCCCGTTAAGACCTCAGGGTATGTGTAATGAGGTGGCCAGTTTGTTCACTTAGCCAGCATGCATTGGTTGAACACTTAGTGTATAC